AACTATGACTTCATATGAGACAAAAATGACTGCACTGCGTGAGAAATAAGCACAATTGGTTAAACGGCTTCACACCACAGAGCATGGCACTACCAGACAGAAACTTCTACTTAGATAACGGTTTGCAAAGACTCATTATGGGCAAGAAATAGCCTCAAAACATCAATGGGTCTTCTGAGCCAACAAGGTTCTCGTGATATGTATTCCTTCAACATTTAGAACCTCATTTTCAAAATCTTACAAGTGAACGAGGATTAGGATTCCTTGCCCTGACACAGGCCTTCTGGGACTGCTGGCATAGAAACATCTCACAAATTCCATGTTTAAGGTCTGATATCTCAGCTATGTCAAAACTGCAGTGGGAAATAATCTGAGGAAAAAGTTACTAGAACAAAAAGCATTTTTGTAATGATTTTTTTAAACGTAGTTTGGCACCGCTTAAACTAACTTTCAGTATAAAGTAAAATTCTGACGTCATTAAAAAGGGGAAAACCTGAGCTTCAAAAGTACTATAATGTCTAGTTAATCATGATGGGATCAGATAAAGCTCCTGCTTAAGGAAATTAAGTTCATTTCTGATTATCTTTTATCTTCTACCAACCTGAAATGTGCTACCTAGACTATCTAGCAGAAAACAAAATTCTTGAAAGAGAGAGGTTTTCTGAACAAGTCCCAGTTGTTACCTGGCCATCAGTGACGAGATGGCTACACGGGTGCTTCATGTGCACCCTGCACTTGGAAAGTCACGGATTCTCTTCTGCTGTTACAATCATGCAGCTTCCAGAACTGCATCTTTCCACCCTTTAAAACAGTTTCGTGGCACAGCATCAGCCATCTCTCCTCCCCACCACAGTCCTGCTCAAAGCTGCAAAAAGCTCGGGACTGTTCCTTGATTTTTTGAGCAACTCTGCCATGCCATGCAGTGAATCTGTGGTTCAGGTTAGGCAATGTGGAGGTGAAATCAGACAATGCCAAAAGTCTATCTGAAGACATAACGAAACCAATGGAAATAAAACACAAATACGCTTTTAAGCATCAACTTCAGAATTGGGTTTCAGGTTTCTCCATTAAACTGATGCCTGAGAGCACCAGAAGTCTATGAAATTTCCACAGGTTTTCAATGCAGTTCTTTGGAACAAACAGCATAATTGATTATTCAGTCTCCTGCTCTACTCCTAACCCTTCAGACCCCTCCTTTCAGTCAACTTCTAGACATACACAAAAAAAAGAAAAAACAAAACAAAATACAATGGCTTTGACTATGAGCTCTTTACACAGGGTTATGTGAAGCCATTGGCAAAACCTTTGCTGATTACACAAGCAGCAGCATGAGGGCTCAGGGGTGAAAACCTGGCACTGACGAACTCAATGACAAACCTTCCACTGACTTCTGGGAATGTTAATCTCCATAGCTATGAATTTGACTTTATGTCTATGCTACATAAAATAATTCTGCTAATAAAAACCAGGCTGCTTCATCTGCCTTTTCCAAACATCAAAGGGGATGTCTACAACACATAGACAATGTGGACCAGCAGGAAAAAAAAAAAGGCTGGTGCTGAGGACCTAAGGTCCACACCACGCACCTTTCAAGAGGTTTTTACTTTGTCCTAGCCTAGTCCTATGGGGTGAACGCCTACTGCATCCAGTCTGGTTTCCCTCAAAAGGAATCCAGCCCACGAGCTCAGGGACTGCTCCATAGTGCACACTGTGAGTGGGGACAATTAGGAGATTCATTTCCAAAGCACACTCCTCATTTGACCTAACACACTAATGCAGCTGCATCCAAAGAGCTTAGAAAATGTTCCTGCATTAAAACCTCTAAAATTAAGGAGTACCAAGGTCATGAAGAGGTTTACCTCCCTCCCAGTTAATAGGACTCACAGCCTTCAATGCGCTTCACACACGTGCAGCGACCTACAGTGAAGATGCGTTTTACAGCAGCAGGCACTGTGTTTCCGATTCCAAATATGTTCATTTACCACCTGCACGATCCTTGTTATCATCAGGATTTTTATTCAATTAGCTCCCTGCATTTGGAAAGCTTTTCTAAGTAGCCAAATATTTTATTTTCAGAAGAGTTTGTCAATCTTTACTGTCTGTTCTGCTGACAAAGGTCTTCTTTTCCTTGACAACTTTGCGAAGTACACGTTCTTGCATTAAAAAGATCATTGGATGTCTCACGCGCTTGTGATAAACTGGGCTACTTGCCCTCCTCACTTGGGGTCTCCCTCCCCCTTCCCAGTTTTATACTAGTCAAAAAGATTTATTTCTCCTCTAAAAAATAATACATAAATAAATACATTGCGAATCACAAACATTAAATACTTAATTTGAACTGGCAGAAAGACCAGCTACCGGAATTCTACAGTGGTCTGTTAGCTCATATGTCTCTGCGTCTGCATATTGAAGGAAACAGCAGAAATAATACTTTACAATTTGATGAACAACATATGACACAGAACCTCTAGACTCGAAAAAAGGGTTACAAACTTAGGAAAATACTTGCCAAATAGAATTCTGCCCTCTCCACAAAAAAGAATCCTACACACTGCTTACTTTCACTGATACAGGACCATCATAATTAAGGATTAATATATAAATAAATTGGATTAAAGAAGAAAATAATCACTAAGGACTTAATGGAAGTTTGGGTGATAAAAAGGGATGTTTTCTGAGTACGTGTTGGATGTCAAAATGGAAAGGATGATACTGTGCTATCTGCTTTTGGGCAGAATCCTCCCTTGATTTCAAATATTACCTTTGCTTATAGTTGGCACCATAATGGCTTATAATCATTTAACCACATTTCTTTCTGGAGCAAAATATAACATCACTCTCCATTTCATTGTGCACAAAGGAGAAACCCATGAACCTAATTTAAACTGGAAAGAGAGAAGAAAGAGAGGGGGGGAAAGGCACATATAATTCTAACAGTCTATAGAATTATCTCAAGGCAAGCTGGAGATAGGAGCGTTATCTCTGAAAATCACAAGAAGCAATCATATCATTGGAATAAGCAAATAAAAAGACTGTGCTTTCAACAGGCACAACGGCAAAGTAATACCAAGTTTGAAAACATGCCTTATTTCAAAAAAATGAGTTCAGCTGTTGCATCAGTCTCACAATCAAGTAATGCATATGCCTACTAGCTAACCAATAATACCCATTTCTGCAAATCAGATTCTTCACCGGACAAACAGCCCATACTAAACTTAATGCTCCACTGATGCTGCCCGTTCTTTCTTCCCCATAAAGATACAAAACATTCTAGCCCAAAAGATGCCACAAGCGTTAGATTTAGCCCTTTTCACCAAAAACTCACCTTAATTTCTGACTATGAGTGCTTGACAGAGAAACTCTTTTACCATTTCAGACTGCTGCATTTCCCCTTTTTGCAGAGCTCTTCCACCAGCCCCATCTATCACACATTCCCAATTCAGTGACCCTCATAAACCAGCTATTTCTGCTGCTTCCCCTGGGATTGCACCCAAGGTGAGGATCAGGCAAGTAACACTTGGCATCCACACGTGCAAGCTCCGAGGTGGACGGGAGGGAGCAGACAGTAACCGCTCCACGTTTTACTGCTCTTGGCGTTTGCTTTCTGCAAGCTGCCTTTGCGAAGATCCCCACCACGGGTAGGTTTGAATACACCACCTTGGTGCCTAATGCCAAAGAGCCGCTTCTTGTACCCAAAATCTGCCTGCCTTAAAAAGTAGAGGCGTAAGCAATACATGTAGTGCGTAACAGTCCGTTTTCTCCACAGCAATATCCTGGGGTACTTCATCACTGGACAACGCTACAGAACTATTTCTTAAAGTGACTGGTAAAGCCATCTCTCCTGTGTTTAGCTGCTGATACTCTGGAGAACCTCAGCTTTGCAGTTTTAAGTACCTTCTGGTGCTGTTGGAGCTTTTGCAAGCATATACTTTTACGGCTGTATTAACATCTATGCAGAAGAACAGAACAAAAGGAGGGAAGAATGACAGGACGCAGAAAGGAAGGAGAAGGCAGAGTCAAATAAGGGAGCAAAACTGAGATGGGGAGGGACGGATTCGAAAAAGTAGTTTAAAGAAAAATGTTGACCAGAAAAAGGGAAAGGGAACTGGAAAAGGGAAACCAGAAATGTTAATGTGGGATGGAGCACACGGCCACACCTTTGTATCTTCTAATATCCCATCATGTTTTCCAAGTGACGTCCCCATCACTTTTCTTTTGAAAGCGTACGCATAAGTGAAAGACATGCAGAGGAGAGGTGCACCAGGCAGACTCATCAGCTGTAAACATCAGTGAGAACACAGAATTTCAAGTATCTGAGATTGAAATCTTTCCATGGCCCAAGAATCAAACCACATGTGTCCGATAGCCACGTCTACAGACTAAATGGCCAGGGAAAGAGGGAACTTAACGAAACATATTACCAGTCGTTACAATTATATGAGGCATGAATGGCCCAGAATGGAAAAACTTAATTCTAAATGCAAATATCCTGCTGTTCGTTTTTGTTCTTTCTCACTGGACTTAAGGAAAATATGCTGTGTTTCCAGGCAATGTAGGACAAAGTTTCGGTTTTTAAACTTTTATCTTGTGCACACTACGTCTGAATGTTATCACCTCTCTTAATCACCTTCTGATGTCTGATAGTGCCCCTTTAACCTTTGTTACTCAATTACTGAACAAGTTATCTCATTGTTACTCTCTTTTGAAGGAAGAGTTGTGCCTCTTTTCATCCTGATAAGAGACACATAAATATTCACTCCCAGCAAACATTTAATAGTAAAGTATCCTGAGCAAACTACCAGAGTCTAAAGGTAGGAAGCTGTGCTTAACTCCTCTGCTATCTTAACCCTTTAGTCAATCCACCAGAACAAACAGACACAGAAGATGGATGTTCTTTTTCACAAATGAAGCAGAAATAATTCTTCTCTTAAAAGAATGGACTTTATAACATGCTTTATAACACAGCAAATAAATCAAACGACTGGAAGTGAAATACCTACCCATTTTCTGGGCCGGCCTCTGGGTCGCTTTTCGCCAGTGGCTTCTGCTTTCTGTAAAGGGAAAAGAAACGCAACGTATTTTATACCTCAGCATTGCTCAACTGCCTCAGTAACTAGGAACTCCTTTACTGTAAGATCACCCATCACGGTACCTCTTGGGCGGCACCGAGCCCCCCTCCCGCTCTACGGGGTTTTCGGCGGAGCGTGATTACATTGCTTTTTCTGACGTTTCCTAGCCACTGCGGCCCTGGGATGCCTCACCTGCGCCTACGGGTGCCCCCAGCCCCGATATCCCCCCGTGCCCATGGGCACAGAGGAGCGTGCCCCAGCAAAGCCAGCAGCCCAGCGCCCGCAGTACAGCTGGGGAGCCCGGCCCCCACCAGCCACCGGGCAGTTTGGGAACCCCAGAAACCCCAACACCATCAAACCTGGTCTTTCACAGGCTGTCAGAAACTACCTGAAGATACTAAATGAAAAATACAGCCTGCTTCAAGCCTGAACAAAGCGGTTTATTGCAGGCAAATTCCTTCTTTTAGCCTCACGACGTTCATGCGTGAAATGGATTTGGACAGACTATCATCACGAACGCGTGCGTGCGTTCATACCGGGACATAGCTCCTCTACTTCACATGAAGTTTTCCAGGTAAGAGCACATCCTTAAGCTGTAAGCAAACCTTTGGCTGGTCCAAAACACACCTTCCCTTTTCGGGGTTAAGGCAACACCATGGAAGGTGCCCTAGAAGTGACAGCTATATTTATGTAAGCCCGGCAGTCGGTCCTGGAGCTCTGCGTAAAGGAAATACAGGTTCTCTTACAGACTATTCCATTAATTCACTGCGTGACACTGTAAATACTACTACTCACGCACTACACTAAAATACTTACAGGCTTTAAAATGAAAATTGCAGGTTATTTTCTCTAGGTAGGCTCTGCCCATCCATACACCTCATCAAGTGAGTAATCCCGTCCCACTGAGGGTGATGAGGATTTTGCCACCAGCTCTAGTGAGGGCAGGACTCGCCACATACAAAGTCCCCGAGAATGAAGACTTTTAGTACACACTCTGTAGATGTGATTCCACATTTCCATGAATTGCTTTTTTTCTAGTTAACTGTATGTGTATTTGATTTGCCCTTAGAAATCAACTGTGTCATTAAATAAATCACTTGCTGGTCAATCTCTGTAACATATACTGTAACCTAATGCTCTGTAAAGTGGATCCCTCTAAAAGAGAACTTGAGCTGAGGAAGTAGTGGAGGAATCTCTGAAAAAAACAGAAATGCCCTGAGAGTTAAATGCAATTACTTTGAAATAAATATCTCACCAAGAAGAAAACTGTGAAAAATAAAATTCACACTCCTAAAGGGCAAAATTATCACTCAGACTTGTTAAAAGAGGAAACTTGCTCTTTAATCGTTTATACCAGCGTTACATGTAAGGTGAAACCCTCTTATGAGAATACTTGTTAAAGTGCATTTACTATACACTGTAGCTGTCTATTTCAGAGTTTTGTTTCCTTTTAAAGTGTTAATTTCTTTATACCTTAAAACCTGAAGGATGCAAACCAAGATGTAGTTTAGTTTTGACGAGCTGCAGCCCTCTGCATTTATGTTTATTTCACGGAACACTGGCCACAACTCTTAAAAGAAAATATTGCTTAAAATTGTTCATAACAAATCAACACCTGACATGTTATGAGAGCACAAACGCCATCTATTTTCTTCTGTATTTTACCACATCTGAAGGAAAGGCCCTCTTCCAAAACTCTATGGAAAAAAAAATGAATTACCTTTTGGGGAACAAAAACTACTTTGGTCTCGCAATTAAAGTTCCTACAAACCTGACACAAATGGTAAGTTTATCGGCAGCATATAATCTAGTTTGATGGGAAAGAGAACATGAGAGATTTCTTTGAATAACTAATCTTTGCTTCCTGCCATAAACTGTCACACAGCGTGGCCGCGTGCCACGAACAATGCGACGCTTTACCCCGAGGAAGGTCCATGTCAGCAGTGGCCAGTGCTCCTGCTGGCTAGTGCGGGTATCAGTTTGTCAAATGCTTGGGGACCCTTTGGATTGAAAGGCACTGTATTCCTGCTGTATACGATTTCCACCTCATGTTAGAAGAATAACATTTCCATAGCTCTTATCAAAACCAAATCTTCCCCAGAGGTGAGCTGAGCAAACAGCGGGGCATGCCAGAGACGATGTTTCGGTACAGAGCGATTCTGTAAGTAAATAGGAAGGCTTCCACAGACTAAACTGCAGAAAATGAACGACAAGAACCTCCAAAGTGGACGTTTTTATCTCCATTCCAAGGGAAGAGAAAGACAAAACGCTTCTGGAACACCCAAAAGGAGCAGTGGCAGGCCAGCAGTGACGATAAAGACATGGAAGTTTAGGAAAATGTTCCCCTTCTTCCCCTCAGGATTTTTTTTACTCCGCATTTTGCAAACGCAGCCTGTATTTTCTCCAACAGCACAAGACTGTCTTTTAATTTAAGCGCTTGAAGAAAGGTTTTATTGCATATCAGACAAATAATTCAATGTTTCTCCATATAATTTTCAAGTAATTAATAAGAAAAGGAACACGTAAGTGCCTAAGCATTGCCCTTCCTCTGAAACAGGTATTTGCATAATCAGAAACATGCCAGTCTGTCGGCTCTTTGCTTTAATTGAAGTGTTGCCTCTGAAGCTCGGAACAAATCCAGAGAGCCCCAAGCCACCCAGAGGGAAGACGGATTCTCAGCTGGGCAGTGAGACACGCGTGTTCCAGGCACCCGACGCGCAGCAGTGGGTACCTGCTTGGTCAGGAAGGAAGCTGCTGCCGTCACCCTCTAAAGCGCTTTTTGAAACCGAGATGTGTTTGGCCAGGGTTTTCTTACCATTTGGTGCTATGCCACAAGGCGTGATCTTGCTCTACACAGCTAAGACACGAGATCACCAAATTTAAAGGCGGGCCAGGTATGTTATCAAACACAAGTTTATGGTATTTCATGAAAAACTATGAAATTTCTCATAACCAATAATACGAACACATCATTTTTGCCACGTCCCATTTTAGGAACAGAACTAGATTTACTCGCTTTCAAGTGCGTGGGGTTTCTTCTGTCTCAGGTGAGAAAGATGGGCATTCCAGTCATTGCTGCCTGGAAGGGAGCGAACAGTCCCCAGGCAGATTTGCAATTCCCCTAAACCCTCCTCCATCCAAACCTGCTTCCAAAGAGCTGCTGTCAGCAGCCCAGGGACTGACTGCCCACCAGCTCTGCTTCCTCCTTGCATAAATGTGCCGTGCCCAGACAGAAACCCAGGCTGTACTACTGAAAGCAATTAACAAGACAAGACAAGTATAAATAATTGAACGGTTGTAAAGTGCTCTTTGGGCATCTATCTATTGTCAAGGAAGATCTCAAGTGCAACAGAATCCAAATTTGGAGAACTCTATCCACTTTGCAAAATGATCTGCTGGAGACCTCAGATAAAACGTGTCAGAGCTGTAAATCAGGTGAAATAACCGAGAGTTCTGGGGAGGAAGATCACTGTTGTCAAAAGACCTTGCCCAGGAACATGTCCCTCTCCTAAAAAAAAGTTATTTGCTTAAAAAAAACCCAACCCTCTTAAGAGAAACTTAGGCATTGGCTAGATACAAAAATATCACACTTCCCATGTCCTGTTTTACCCATTTTAATTCTAAACATGCGTCAGTCTTCTCCTGCTTCTCCCATCTTGCTCAAAACGCCTGATTTTGAGGTCTCTTATTTTTTAGGTACAATAACCATGCTACGATAACTTGATAAATCTGATCTTGTTTTCCCTTTAAGCTTGTAATGACTGGTGTTGGTGAGAATGAATGAAGCATGGAGAAGCCAAATAGATTTTCATGAACCAATTTAGGGCAGAGTCCTGGTCACATGTGCCTTTTTTTTTTTTTTTTACCTTTGGACTGCTTAACTCAGGGACATGCCTTTCTACATACCAAACTCTGGCCATGTAATGTAGAGACAGTAGTAAGAGCAGTCACACACAGTACCACAAGTTCTGGTTTTCAGAGGATAATATTTCAAGATCTGGAGGTATTTGCAGTGAATTTCACTGCATCATAACTACCAGAAAACTCAAAATACTTAAACTGAAGGTGTATTTTACTACAGAGCCTTTACTTTTGGGTATTCCTGGGATACCCCTTGACATTTTCTTTCAAGACGAACACATAGTAGCTACTACTCCTTTTTTTAACCTCACAGTTGTGTTTCCTCCTTCCAAACAGGAGAGTATTTATGCCTATACAGTATTTTTGTCAAGCCCAACTACAGGAGCTAAACAAAGAAAAGCCCTTGAATGCTTAAGGGAAATGCGACGGGCTGGGAACACAGCTCAGCCTAACAAATAAAACTCAACCACAGAACACCCGGGAAACTAAAAAGGAACATCCCTACAAGGGTCTTCCCACAAAACTAGTTGTTCTTTAGGAAAAAAAAAAAATCTTCACTTTTTTGCTAATTTTTTACAAATATTTTAAATGAATAACAGAATGACTTGTTTAAAGTCACAGACTTCAATAACAGCCTAATTGTGGGGATTCAAGTACAAGATGATTAAGAGTCTTTTTGCATCTATCTCCTCTCATCTGCTAACACGTTGTGTTCCTTCTGTTCCTGAAAATTAAACAATCGAGAAATGGTTTGGTTTTCTATAAAATGCAGTTTACCTTTTGTGTCCAGTTTATAACAAGTTAGGCATGTGTGATATGCAAGGCTTTTAGAAAAATGCATATTACCTAAAATTAGAGTAATTGCCACATTATTAGCTGTCCAATTGGTCTTGCAACATTCTGTATGCATTGTCAAGTTTCACATTGCTAATTTCCTAACAAGCACAGTTTGTTTTCAGATGCCCCAAGGCCAGTTTACTAAGACCAAACACAAGCTCTGAAAGCTAAAAAAAAAAAAAACCAAAACAAAAAAAGTCCCATGCACCAAGAAATTTTAAATACACAACACAACCATGATTCCAGGGTAAACTGTCCCCCAACTGATTTAGGGGTATTTCGTTTTTGAAGTATAACAAAACAAAGTCCCAGTTCTGGAGTATTTTTAACTCGCTGCCAGTTTGTGCAATACATTTTTAATTGTGATGTGTAATGGTTTGCAAGAGAACACCCAATCAATTAATCATGAGTGCCTTCTCATGGCTGCCCGGTGGGTTCTCCTGGCCAGCGTTTATCTTACATGTTGTGAACACTCTCATACATTTCAGTGAGGTCCCTTTGGAACACACAGGCCACACACTAGTCTTTAGAAATTCCAGCAATTTCCAGTAGTGTGGTATAGTACGCTGGTTCACATGTAGCGGGGCTTAGGCTAAGTTAGCCAGCAATCTTTCTGAGACTTGAGACAGGCTCTAGAAAACCTTAAATAAATACATGTATGCATATGTATGCGTAAACATGTTTACCGCAAAATCAAACATATAGGTCACTCTTTTAAGAGGTGATACCCTCACCACCAAATGAAGCTTTCTTACAGTGCCAAAACCTTTCCATTCGTATTACTGTTAGGAAAACTATCAGAATTAATATTACATAAAAAGATACTTTGAGATGCCTGGTGAGAAGCTGAACCATTTTAGACAGGGTTAATTATCAATTTGGAAAAAGAGCTAAAATATTTATTCGAAATGTGATCTCTGTGACTTTCTTCTACTAAGGCTTTATAGGTGTTTTACGTTTTAGAGGATATATCAAATATTTATATACTTCATCTGCAAGCCTAGAAACAAATAAGACTTATAATTACATACCCCTCAACATTTTTTTAATGATAAAAAAGACTTGTGGTCTTGGGTCAATTTTTCACATTATTAACACCCAAAAGGGTTTGCTTTAATTAGAGCAGTAACTTGATGCATTCTGAAAATCAAAATGTTACAATGAAATTGCTCGGTTCGTAAATTAGATTAAAAAAAAAACAACAACCGCATGTACCAGAATCATCTGGAAAGCTCTTGATGGGATATACCTATATATATATATGAATGTTTTGAAGTTATTTGCCATTTATACTGATTTCCAAATCACTCATATAAATGAAATAATGTTAATATTTCTTTTAGAAATATCTTTTTAAGACACATTTCTACACATTACTTAAAATTTAATCTTATTACAAATATTTCTCCTAGGAAAGCCAACACTCCTAAGAGTAATATTTAAAATACTAAAGCTCACATTTGGATTTGCTAGACTAATAAAAAACTGCTCTCTCTCTTTTGAAGAGTGAAATTTAAACTATTTTAAAGTGAATCTGAGGAACATTTTTACTATATAAAGAAAAAAAATCAACATTTTAAGCTCACTAGGTTGCAGAGTAGCTTTGATATATTTTAAATACTTAACCTGTAAGGCATTTTTTACTAATTCATGAACTTCTTGACAGAATATACTGTTTTTTTCCAGCTCAGAATGTAAAAAAACAATTTTAAATTTAAAGAGAGTTGTAAAACGTCCCTCAAACAAATGTTGAGAACACTTACAACAAAACAGACATGAAACCATAGTCACCCCCTAATAATTTAATATTTATCAGTAGTTGCTATAGTAATTCATAACACTGAAAACTATCAAACTTAATATGGTCAGTACCATAGGCATATTGAAAAATGAACCATCATTAGATGAGGCCACAAATACCTTCCACACACATTTTGTCACATATCTACTTAAAAGACACTGATACACTTAAGCCCTACAGTTCACTACCAGATTTTGTAAGCTTTTGTTTCCAATTTAGTACCTGTAAATTAGTGCTAACTGCTGTGTAACCATCAACATAAACAAAACTCCCGTGTTTGTTTTCAAGCCTATAGACAACTATCTGCCTTCACTAAAAGAATTCCTACGGAAAGGTATTATTTGCCTCCATAGCACAGTTTTCTAACGCTGAGCTTTCCCCAATGCAAGTAAAATCAAGTCACATTTTCACGTTGTATTTGTGATGTAAAGTCCATGCACTAAATGCAGTGACTTCAGGGAGCTTCTCCTACAGCTAAATGCATTCAGAACCACCAGAACAAAAGTTTGCTCCCATCACCAAGCAGAAGTAGTGGTTCAGAAGACTAATAGCACTTCAAGTAAAAGTCGCTTTGAAACAAGATATAATAGGCTTTTACTGTAACTCATAGTTTACTTTACCATCACATTTTAAAGCTGTAAATTTCAATATATGCACTCATTTCCATCAACACATAATTGGATTTACTTCTAATTAACCTATGTTTGACAAAACACTTAGCTTTAATATACAGATTGGGTCTGTAGTAGTAATGACTGTAAGTGGGCAAGAAATTAATCTTCCTCCTTCAAAAATCTTAATCGAGAAAATAATATCCTTAATACTGATTCCCTTACTAGATACAGGAGGTCTCAGTAAATAGATCAAATACATTACGTTATTTCACTAATCTGTACACTATTCAAAAAGCAAGCTGCCCTTATAGGTTCTGTACCTAGGGTCTTCGTGCAGCATGTTAATTCTAATCTTAAAAAGGCAAAATACATGCTTTATGTAGCTTCCATTATTAAAAGGGTTCCAAGCCCACACTTCACAGCCTAAATGACTGGATTTTTTGCTACCACTTGATGAAGAAACAGCATTAGGAACTCTCTCTAATAATCTCTCACCTTCTGAGCTGCTTTAGAGGGACTCTTGTTTTTGCTTCCTTTGGGTCTTCCTCTTGGTCTTTTAGGAGATGGTTCACCAGTTGGTTCCTAAATACAGGAAAACACGCTATTGTGGCGAGAGGCTACAACTAACCCAGATCTGAAGGACAAACTATAACTGAGAAGTTACTTAAAACATCATGAATTAACAGTATAAATAAATAACACAGTATTTTAAATGCAACACGAAAAATTAAACAACTCGACGTAAAGAAAAAACATATTTTGCACAGTAAGAGTTTAACTTCCCTTGTAATTGCATAAAAAACTTGGAAAAGTTTGCATGGTCTACCACGTAAGCTATAGCAGAAAACACATTCTTAAAAGAAGATGGCTCTGATTTCCCTCATGTAAGAATGATTATTCAAAAAAATAATACAGTTACCCATTTAATTTCAATTGCATTTCATTATAGCAAGATACAATTTTCACATGCAGTTTCTAGCACAAACTTGGGGGGAAAAAATAGTTAACTACTCAAAAACTGTAAAGTAAGCTTAGACTCCTTTCTCTCTCAAGGGCACAAATATTTGGGAGGGATTTTTTTCCTGTTGTTCTGCAGCCAGCATTATATTCACACCTATTCTCCGCACAACTCATTTGTATTAAAGTGCAAACGTGAAAGTGTCTTCAAATCGAGCATTGCTAAGGCAAAAAACCTCGATGAAAGAAAATACGCGGAACAAAAACCCAACTCGAAAACGACTCGACAGTAACACTGATTCTTTCAGCTATTTTCTTAACTAGCTCCTCTGCCTGACAGTGAATAACCAGCCCTTCAAAATGGGTACGAATTACTAAGAGTTCGGATTCCAAATATTTATTCAGTGAATCATAAATACTATAAAACTCCTCTAGTCCTAAATGTTATACATTTCATTCGGATTACAGGATGTGGTAAAACTAATTAAACGCAGTTTGTTAACGTAAACCAGCCCCGAAGCCCGCAGCTCTCGCACTCCCGGTGGGTGACGGGGTCCCGCCGAGGGTCCCCCCGCCAGCCCCGGCTCCCCGCGCCGCTTCCCCGGGCTGCGCAGCTGGGCTCCGCGCCGCCCGGGAGACGCACTTTTCTTTCTCTTCCATACGTTCAAACGCTACGGGAAGGGGGGAGGGAAGAAAAAAAAAAAAAGGCAGAAGGAAGGGCCGGTGCCGGCCGCTGAGGCTGGGCGAGGGCAGCGCGGGGGGCGATGCGGGCCGGGGGGCAGAAGCAGCGGCAGGGAGGGCAGAGCGGGAGAGGCAGGGGCTGGCTTTGATGGCTCTCCAAAAAGGGCTTTCTGGGCAGTTTGCAGGAGCACATCGCGGGGGGGGGCGGGGCCGAAGCAGCCGGGTTTCCCCCGGCTCGGGGCTCTGCTGCTCAGCTCCCTCCGCGGTTTCGGAGCCCCTCGCCGGCTCCGGTGGCAGCGGGCTGATGCTAAATGAATGGGACTCAAACC